AATTCACTTTAAAAAAAGTCAGAAAGTTGCCTTATCTGCTTTTCTCATTTTGATTGATTATCTGTGGTTCCATAGCATCTTACATGATCACAGCAATGTTCTTTGGTGATAAAATCATCAAAGAGCATTACTCTGTTGGGGTAGTACATGAGGGGTATTAATAATGGAACAGAACAGGGGGCCGTTAAATATATTTTTTTGTTTTTCTGTGCTGGGAGGCTGGTTTACGAGGTAGGGGGTATGCTATTTTTTTAAGCAAGAATTTTAAAAAGCACTCCTTTAAGCCAATCCATCTGTTTTGATTTGGAGCCCTGCAGACCTGGCAAACCTTGAAGGTTTAACAGTGTTCATCCTGGCTCTCCAAGCAGTGGCTATCTCCGTGGCTCACACAGCTCTAATTTAGAGCTAAATGGTTGAATTCCCAACATCAGATGTTTAGAAGAAATTTGAATTTGTCAATTAGAATCCAAACGGTAACCAATTGTTCAGTGCACAATGTTTTGCAAAGTGTGTTTTTAATGTAGCACATCAGATATAAAACCTTATATCTCTTAATTAAAGATTGGTCTAGAGAAGAGGAGAAAGCAGGAAGCACAGTGTTCAAATGTGTGCCCCTGACTCGTAACAGGGTTGAAAAGCAACTGACTGTGTATAGATAATTACCATGACTCAGTTTGGCAGACCCCTATTGTTTATCAAAGTTGCAATCTGCCTCTTGAGCTCTTCAAACATTGAGCTTCAACATTCATGTCAAGAAAATCTTGTGTAGCCAGCTGCTTTGTTAAATCTCATTGCCTATTTATTCAAATGTATACATTTTCTTGTGTCTGCATCACCGTTCTGTTTTTGTGATGAAGAACAGGGTAGATCCCTAAAAAATGCTTCTAACTTTCCACAGTTTTTTTTTCACCAATACTGTCTGCCACTTAAATACTCCAAGAATGTTGCTACTCCAAACTGTAATTGTTCTCTGATGCTAGGTAAGTTCTGATCTCACATTTATATCTGTATAAATCAGGAGTAAGTACAGTGAATTCAAGAGAGTCTGCTTCTTATTTACACTACAGCCCCTTTTCACCACTCTTGCAATGTAAAGGGGCCTTAAAATGGGTGCAGATTTAATTGACTCTGAGGCTTTAGTGTAAAAGAGAATCAGACCCACTAGAGTTCAACAGTGCAAGTGAGATCAAAATCAGACCCACTGTACTGAATAGTGCTTTGATCAAATAATTGAGGACATTGGCATGGTAGTGAGCTCTTGGAGATACTTGGCAGGACTTTTTCTGCTGTGGAAAGAGGATCCAGGATTGAAGCTGGAGCAGCAGATGCTGGATGAGTGAGTTATGATGTGTATGCTTATATACCATCTTGTGGGTGGTTGAATGGAGTGGTACTACAGTTACAGAGTAGTTTGCCATTCATGTGGTAATAGTAGCTTTTTTGGAGAGAAGGGAGGTTAAATCCAGTAAAGATGTGTGTAGAAAGTTTGGATGGATGCACAGTATGTAGGCCTTGGATTTTTTTCCCCCCCTCAGCTAGGATTGGTTACAATTTAACACTTTTATTTATTATGATTATTGATAAAGGACTTCTGATGTTGTTTTAAACTACATTACTGTTTTTAGGAATGAAAGGGTCTCATTTGCCACAATTTTGCATCTTGTGTATTCATTTTGCCCTCCACAAGGTAGATGTAAAAGGCCTCCAATTTGTATTTGGTAATTGTTATACCCCCACTTTGCATTTGGTTTACACAAATGACTACACAAAGCGCAAGGCAGTGGAGAATCTGTCCTTAATAGCCCATCTGACAGTTGTCACCATGATGCAGAAGTATTTGTTGATGTGTTGAGTAAGTGAACAATTATAATCTCAGCCTGTAGTCTTCATGTCTTTGATTGTAGTGTTGTAAATTATGGGTCCAAATCTTCATCTTCCCATAAGTAGCTCTGCTGAATAAGGGTGTGGGTCATAGCACTCTAAATCTATTCTTACAGATGGAAATGTGCACACACACAGTTACACATAGTTCATTCTTATGATTGAAATCACATTACATTGAATTTTTATTTTTAAAAACTTGTGAATTTTACATACAGTATGAAAGTGATGCTAAATAATAAATCATAGACCCTTACTCCACCAATCAAGAGGCAGGGATGCACTGCATGAGAAACCTTCTAATTTAGTACAGAGCAGTCTCTTGTGCATAACTGCCTTCCTTGGATCAAACTGCACTTTTTAACCTCAAACACGAAGAAAAACTAGTGTGTCTTGGTAAAAAAGGACAGCTAGAACATCCTTTAAAAAAAATGGAAATGACTTGATACAAAACTCAAAGAAAACAAAAAGGATTAGGCATTTTTGAGTTACTGTTTAATCCTGCAGGTAAACCATGAAAGCTCAAAAGTGTGCAAACCATTTTACACTAGGAGAGAGTACAGAAAAGTGAATAATCAATTTTAAAAGCCCAGACCCCAAAATGAGGGCGGGGAGGGGAAAGCGGGGGGAGTAATTTTCTCAAGACTGCGGACCTGTCTGTGGAAAGGGATGAACTTGATACTACTTGTTAAACAGAAACATTTTCTGAGGCAGTATGTTCATTCCATCTCTCTAATCCTCACCGACATGGATGTGAAATTTATCCATAATGATATATTGAAAAATTTCTCAATCTTCCTTTTTTTAGTAAATGTAAATTGTAACTGGCAGTGCTGCAGGATGATTCAGGGCAACACACATGCCAGCGTTATGGGAATTTTTTTTAAATCCAATTTTTTAATTTCATTGAAGATTGACAGGACAAACTATTTTATCTTTACCAGGCTTACTGTGGCTCGAAATCTTTGAAAATGAAGCCCAAAATAGTATTTGATTGTTGTCAAGGTGCTCAAATACCAAGGTGATGGGTGCAGTTTAAGAACCTATATAGAGGGTGATGTAAAGAAACAGTTGCACTTTGTTAAAACTAGCATTTTATAACTTTTGTTTATCCTAGTTCAGTGTGACAAGGATGAGAACAGTAGGTTTGGATAATATTCATCTTCCCTCTAGGGCAAAAAAATGGGGAAAATGACATTTGTCTTACCTTAAAGTTAAAAAAGCAAAGCAACTAAATTCTGTTTGTACAGTACTTCTGAACGGAGAACTTGACAAGAGACAGAATTCCTCATTTCCTGATGGCAAGCTGAAATAAAGGTCACACCCAAAGACTATAAAATATTGGAATCCAACAAAAAGGATTCAAAAGCTAACTTTCACAGGGCTCGTACTACTGTAATTTAAAGAATTGCATTCATCTGCTCTTTCTAGTACATTAAGTGTTGTTCTCTTTAATAGTTCACTAACCTTAGCAAGTTGAAAAAACACTGTGTACAATTGTTTTTTTTAATGTGTGCAGTGGAGTATGGAAAGAAACAACAATTACATTTTTTTTTAAAGCAGCATCCTAAATATCAGGCTAAGGCGTATTAAACTATTATTTCTTTCTGGGTGCTCAGAGAAACATACTTCTTAAATGCAGGACAGCTAGACGACTAAGTAGCCCTACACATATTAGGTAATAAATAAGATGAATGAATAATTGAAATCTTGTATAATGTGGGCACCGATAGATTAATTTTTACTAGGGAACTTATTTCCAGTAATGATCCTGAGAAGTGATCTCTCATCAGCATGCTGCCACAGTGAAGAAGAGGCTGCTGTTGCTTAAAGCTGTACTAACCAAGTAGTGTTCTCACTTGGTCTACTTATTTGTATTTCTTTTCTTAATTCAAATCATATTCAGCTGAGCTAGACAAGCAAGCACCGAACCTTGGATGGGATCCTTGAAAATACTTTTTTTCCAGACTCAGCTACCATGCAAACATCTTCCTAACCTAAGGTGACCAGATGTCCAGATTTTATAGGTTTTAGAGTAGCAGCCGTGTTAGTCTATATCCGCAAAAAGAACAGGAGTACTTGTGGCACCTTAGAGACTAACAAATTTATTAGAGCATATGCTTTCGTGGACTACAGCCCACTTCTTCGGATGCATATGCATATCTGAAGAAGTGGGCTGTAGTCCACGAAAGCTTATGCTCTAATAAATTTGTTAGTCTCTAAGGTGCCACAAGTACTCCTGTTCTTCTTATTCCATCAGTTGCAACTCTGGGGATCCCTGTTAAATCAAATGACAAGGATAAAGTCTGTAACCAGCCAGCATCCATCTAGATAACTTTTACATTATTTACTCTGATACACACTGGGCTTGATTTTGATCTCACTCTGGAGTAAATCAGGAGTAAGTGCTGAAGACAGTGGAGTTAAACCAATGTAAAACTCATGTGACTGAAGAAACAAGCCCACTGTATTTTAACAACAAAAACATATTTGGTCTAAGGTCCATTAAGACAACTTTAAGCATTCTGTGTACAAAGCAAGCAGTATTATATTTGCATTATACCAATGGCTAAGAATCAATTGTACTGGACATAAGGTTATTTTTATGCAAAATGTTTACTTAATATTTATGATATTGTTTTTAATGCAATCACAGGAAATATCAGCTGATAGAATATTCAAGGTGACTTAGCAATACATTATGGGTAATAACAATGTGGGTATTCAGAAGATACTTAAATTTGATTAATATGCTATAAAGTATTACTTCTTCTAGCTATTAGTTAGGAGCCTTTTCTGTGTAATAATTTCTGTAAACAAAAACAGTTTTACAAAACCTGAGCTAATTCTGGACAAATGAAGAGCTCTGTGGAAATGTTAATGCCTTGACAAAAAGATTTGTTCCACCTGAGCTCCAAGTCAACATCTGCTATCAAGAAAATTTTCTGAAACTGAAGGGTGAAAATGTGTTAGGGTGCTTTATCTGGCAATTTAATTCTCAAAAAGAATAGTCCTTCAGAGATACAGTGGTTACAACATGCCCCCTTCCATTCTAGATGATTACTGTAGACCATAAGAGACATGTCTTTACATGCAACTACATGCTTAGACTACTTCCCTTTAAAGAACAATACCCCATCCTGCAGTCACAATAAAATGTAAATTTATGTACTGCACACTTCACTATGACATACTGTATACATTAAAAAGTTATTCCACTACACAGACTTTCTGATCAGCTTTTCATCAACAGAATACTATAGTAACTCAGTTTTCTGGCTTTAATAAAAACAAAAAAAGTACTTTCAGTTTCTGAATCTAATTCCCTAGCTTAATTTGCCATATTATTTAAAAGAACAGCCTATTTTCTTCCTGCAACCTTTATATTTTTATTACCATTAGCAGGATAACCAATCCCAAGTACTTAAAAATCATGAGTCAGGGCCATGAGATAGGCTTAAAAACCATGAGACTCAAATAAATAAGAACATTTGGATTCTTTTTATTTGCAGTCTGATTGAAAATGTGTTGAGCCTTTAAGGGTCAAGCTCTTCTCCACAAACGTATGAGATACAAACTTACTTTTAAAGGGGGGTGGGGGGAGGAAATAAAAGAAAAAAAAAGCTGAGATTGTCCTGTAATCACATCACCGCAGAACCTGGGGATATAAGCAAATCACCAAGGATCACAAGACTTGCAATAAAATCATGAGAGCTGACAACACTGCTTAAGCCAGAGTAAAAGAAAGACTTGGGTATGTCACTAGTGACTGATTATCCATGGTTTTAAGCAGGGCCAGCCCTAGACCAAATGCCCCCAGGCAAGGAGTGTCTTCGGCACACCACACTCCTTCCCCCCACCATTTGTCAAACTTTTGAATACTTTACACCACCCCAAGCCTAGCGCCCCCAAGCCCTGCACCCCAGACAGTCGCCTGCCCCTAAATCCGGCCCTGGTTTTAAGGGAGAATCCGCATGCCAAACAAGGCTTTCTACACAGGAGGAAATCAGGAAGTTGAAAAAGGCAAGTAGTCTGCTAGCAACACAACCCATAACAACAAAACAAAAATTGCCAATAAAAGTACAAGATGGATTTCTATTATTTTATGCATGGCAGTTTATGACAAAGCTCAAAGCATGAAAGCTTTTTATACATCTCATAATCTTTTAGTAACCAAATACATTTTGACCTAAGGTGAGATAAGAACCACTGATCTGCAACGCAGCATCCTCCAAGGCAGAGATTTGAGACACAAGTAATATGATTTGCCAACTTGGGTAATACCATAATAGTTGTTATTTATTTATAAAGCACCTCCATTCCTGCTCATGTTGAGGTAGAATAATTTCATCTCAAATGAATTATAAAAACATTTTAAGGTGTCCACGTTTACCAAAAGAAAGGGCAGTGTACCCTCATGAGAGAAATAAAAAGCATTAAATCCTCACCTTGTTCACAAAGCATCTCTCTATGGTGAAGACAAAAATGATGGTCGTCACTGTTCTATGTGGGGTGAAGAAGAAATTCACAGCTTAAACTGCTTCCTCGTCTGGCTTCGCCGGCAATGTGACTGTTGATCTAGAAGTTGAGGAGATGAAAACCAAAATGAAAAAAAAAATCAGTTAACAACCAACCAACTTAGCAGTGGCCATACAAGTGCCAAAATATTCCTGTGAAGATTGGGAAGGGTTCTATCCGGAGCAGAATCATTCATAATACTGAGGGTCAGTAACATCAAAAGATTACAGAGTTGTGTCTGAGTTTGAGTTACAGAAGGATGGCAATTCACTTTCAACAAGTGACACAACTAGAGTGAAAACCAGGACTCAGAACAACAAGCCTGGACTCAAAAAGCACGTTGGTAAGTGTGCTGTTTACGTCTTACACCAGCTTGAGCCTATCAGGGACATTTATGATCTTCACTGGCTCACTAGTACATCTTCATGAAACACACAAAAAAAATCTACATTTCATGGGTATCCAAAAAGACAAGTCATTCATGCACAGTGTAGCTGAAATTACTAAGGATGTGCACTCACATGTGTACCCATTCTTGTGTGTGTTCGTATATGGGCCCCCTTGGCCACTCTTCCTGCCAGCAGCTATGACACAGATGGGCACTGTCTACTACAGGCTGGGGCTAAGGAATGTATGGTTCTGGGGAACTGACATGTGGCAGAGAGCACAGCCCATTTACTCTGTCTCTATGTGCTTTCCAAAATGTGATATTGGTGACTTTAGAAAACATAAGTCAATTGTGATGACAGCCTTCACTAGCAGCAGAACACAATTTCTTTGAGAGGCATCATCCAAAAAGCAGACCATATTAAGGGGATCTAGATAAAAAAGTATTAGATTTTTGTGGCATTTCCTCAGTTCTATCGTCTTAATCCTGGCATGCTGGAATTAATATATTTTACTGGAAATTCCCAGATAATATAAACAGAAAGTACACTATGACAGCAATACTTTTCTAATTCTATATTTTTAATTATTAAAAATTACAGGGAACCAGCATCACAATTCTGCTGACATCACATAGCAAACAAAATATGTTTTGCTTTTTCACTTGGAACCTCACCAAATATTTTTTGTCACTCTTTAGCAGGACTACTATTCCTCTGTCGTGAGGCAGTTTTGTGTTCGAGTTTGAGAGCATACTTATGGCCCCTGTTCATCCAAGGACTTGCGCACACGTTTAATTTTATGCCAGTACTTAAATCCATCCTTATTCAGCAAAGCACTTGCAGGATTTAAGCACGTGCTAAAGTGTTTTTCTGGATTGGGGCCAATAACACATTCATGCACATAGCTCTTCATAGTAGAATACAAAACTGTCACACAATATAGTTGTAGGAGAAAATATAGTAAAGTAATAGCTGAATAACAAATACACTAAGCTCAAGAAGAAACCAGACTTACTTGTCTAGTTTCTGTAACTTCCAAATACACCTTTGTCTGCAGAGTTGTTAAAATTAAAAAATAATAATAATTAAAAAACGTAAACAAAATAAATATCAGCTAAATCAAAATCTTATCACTTTAAACTTTTTCCCCCACATTTTTTAAAATGTATGACTTTTGAATATCTGTTACATGCCAGAGCCCAAAAACATTTTGTGTGTGTTTGTTCTCCCGGTCCAAAGATAAATATACTAATTTGTCTCACTCAAAGTTCTGCATAAGGTAAAATTAAATGACCAAGTCAATATTTTCAGTTTTAAAAGCTTAGTGTATTAAATTTCTTAGATACAAAATTCAATGGCATAGAGCACACCATTTCTTGGGTCTGACATACTTTCCTATACCAAGCCTGCTGTACTTCTGTTTGTCATGCTCACTACATTTTGATTTGTTAAAGTAGACCTGGTTATAGCAGTCTCAGCAGAGGACTCCAGCTAAAGCTGTTCTCTGAACTGATTAAGTTGCATGAACTCTACCTGAACAATCTTCCACAATAGTTAATCACTCAAAAACCTGTCTGATCAGCTAACAGCCTCAGAGTGGGCTGTCTCATATTCTGAACTACAGTTGAAACCAAGGTACATTTCAAACCACATATGCAATTTTTATATACATTTTTTAAACCAAAATACACCTTGTTACTGCACCTATTCGCAGACCACAGCAAAAGCACTGTACTATATGAATAGCAATACAAAAATAGTGGGTTACTCCTGCTCCCTTTGAAGTTAATGAGCGTTTTTGCCATTGAATTTCAGTGGGAGGAGGATCAGGTCCTGAGTTTTGATTCTCTAGATATATTACTAATATAAACTATTTTCATATTTCAAGTAATTAGATGCTTTTCAATTGGCTGCATTTAACGGTCTATTTTAAAAAAAATTAAGATGAAACAAGGCTATCGGATAGATTACAAAAAGATTTTTTTTTCTTGGAGGCAAAGGAAATTCAGGCTTGTTTTAAAAGATCCTTTAAAATCAGACCATTTTTGTCAAGCTTTTTTATAATGAAATCCAGGGGAAAATTTGTTTTTCACAAGTTCATATAACGCATTTTTAAAAATATTTACTCTGCTTATAATGTGGCTCACAGCATTGCAATTTGTATACGAAGCATGATGCAGTACAAAGGATCGTACAAACGGCAGGAGTCAGTTGGTATGGTTATTTGACTTTTCTCCAGTCCCATTTTCCTAATCCCCTCCATACCTAGCCCAAAACCAAAATGACTGATGAATGTTGTACAAAGATGATGATACAACACCCTTATTTTACACACACAAAAGAAAAAGAAAACCAAAAAGAAAAGCCCAAATCAGCCACTGCACTAAAGAGTTGCACTTAGAATGAGAAACTGTTCATGAACTTCCCCATGAGAAGAAATTCCTCTGCTTGGCAGACAGACAGAAACCTGCAGGCTCAGTTACACTGCAGCTGGGATTGTGAGCTGGCAGGCAGTGCAAGATTTGACCCATAGACAGGCATTACTCCTCTTGTTACCTTCTCCAGTCTCGTACTTCAACATGAGAGCTATTAAAATGCCTGTTTTATTATTATATTTTTTTGGATACTATTAGGCTCCAGCAGTTAAGGGCCTGATCCTGAGTGGTGTGGAGTACTGAACCATTGGGAATTGTGGGTACGCGTCACTGCTCAGAATCAAGCCATTAAAGCCACAGGTCTAAATTCACCATTGGTGTAACTGGGAGAAACGTGAAGGGAGATGTTAGCCAATTATGCAAGCAGTGAATTCAGCTCCTCCAGCACAGTTCTGAAGTCCTTCCTCAGACAAAACTCCCACTCCAGTCAATAGCAGTTTTTGCCTAAGAAAGGTGTAATAAAGACTTCATGGTTACACACAAGACAGATGCTGAGCTCCATTACTTTGAATGTGGCCCACTGGAATTACTCCAGATTTACATGAGTACAATAGAGAGCCACATTTGGCCCATTTAAAAAATACATATATTATTTCTTAAAAGACTAATGTAATAGTGTAGTATTCAAACATGGACATTAAAGACAAAAATATTCCTCAGTTAAATGTATTTTTAAATCGCAATAAACAACCTGAAGCTCTTTATATTCTTAAAGTGAACTTTTTACATTGGAGAAAAATGCATTACAACATTGAAGCAAAAGGCCTTCAACTGTATGCTATGATGAAAAAATATCGTTTAAAGTAGTATGAAAACAAATGTGAAAGAGCTTACTATTATCAGAAACAAACTAACCAGTATTGAGTCTGTCACAGATAAAATAGCCTTGGGTTTTTAGTTGGTTTTATAACAGTATATATACACCCTACGTTTTTGCAAGGTGAAAATGCAAATTCAAATACCAAATAAAACACATCCAAGGCCCTGAGCCTACTAAGAATTATGGACATGCTTAACTTAATACACTATCGGTTAAGTAATAATTATAATGTGAATTATCAGTGACTTAAATTATATTAGTCAGAGCATGTAAAGTTAAGCAACATGTATAGATTATGGCAGGTTTGGGGCCTACCATATTAACCCTTTTAATGGTGACATTTTCACAACTTCATACATATGATTTCAGCCTTCAAATGGTTAAACACCCAACAAATCAAAAGCACCAGATTGCAAAAGAAGCTTTCAGATACGCTTGGGAAAGACTTTTAAAAATTAACAAAACATTTGTTGATGCATTAACAATAAACACGGGTGGAACTTGTAGAACAATTTCATTAGCTAACTAAATATATTTGCATACTCTGCACACAGGTAAAATCTGACAGTCCAGTGCTGTAACAGCTCAGAAGTATCTTTCATAAAAGTTCAGTGGTTAGGAAATGTCATAATATGCTTAAATATTCTCCAAGAAGACATAGAAGTGAGCTGTACAGTCTGTCCAACATAAATATTGTACATACGCCACTTGAGGTAGCCCAGTCACAAGACAAACACACCTGAATGGACGATGAATACTGTCTGTTACCATGGCAGCCTGATCTAATTACATGACTGATCAGGGCTAGAGTAAGTGCACTGAAAACCTATAGCACTGACATGTATCTACATGACGAGAGAGAGAGACAGACAGAGTTGAAGAGAACCTATGAACCTTTGCCTTCTATAAACGATGATGAGATTAAAGCCATCCATTTAAAAGAATTGCTGCCTGAAAAATATTGGGCCATTTTCATGAACAAATTGGAGGGCAATACAATAAAATCATAACTTACTATTAAAAGGTACCTTGCAGCATCTCAAAAATAACTACAGTGGGATATTTTTTTCTGTCACTCTCAATTATCTCTCCCTCATTCATAACCCTTGCTCCACAGAGCTATAAAACTGAACTGTCTTCACCACCCAAACAAACAGAGCTACATTAACATGAAATCTGAATTTTCCCTTAACTGAAGGTTACATCAGAAGCTAAAATGAAAAGACCTTGACTTCCCTAACATGTCAGCAAAGTAACTGGCTATGCCTTAACACATCTGACATGTAAGTAACCAATACTGCATAACATATATAACAATGATAATTAAATATTAAATATAACATGCATTATGAAATATGCATTTCTTTATAATATGAAACATAAAATGTTTCAAAAACTAAGGTCATCCACATTCACAATTCCTTATTTGTACATAAAGAATATTTGTAAGGAACAACTGTTTACATCATTATGTTTATTTCTGGGACATAATAAGGAATGCTTACAATTTTTGCTAATTGTATCCGGAGTCCAGGATCACAGGGGGAGACGCAGTTTGGAGTCCCTATTGCACAGCATACAGTAAACAAAATAAAAATAGCTTGTCGTTCTTCTTATCCACATAGTACATTATATAACCAGCTTCGGACTTGTTTTCTTTCTATTATTACTCTTCAGTAATTTCCCCCATCTTCAATGGCATGGAAACAGTTCCCAATCCCGTCTTTTTATTATCATCATCATCACTACTACTGAAGGAGCCAATGTTTTCTAACAAATTTTAGGTTAATCTCTAATAGTCTTAGAAATTATTATATTCCTTGATTGGTTTGTATGTACTAAATAAATGATTATTCTGTTACTGTGTTTTATTTAAAAACCAACCCAAACAAGGGGAGGTCAGAGTCAAGAGAGGAATGCATACCTGCAACATAAATTAAAGAGAATGCAGCAGCCACGGTCACAATCAGAAATGGAGAGAGCAAAATATTGCTATATCCAAGGATAATCACATCAATTCTTTAGCACCAGAGGCTGTTGCTAATCCCCCCTGGAGAAGCTAAATGGTCTCTTTGCTTTTAGCCAGCCTCAGATCTCTCTCCCGGGCAGGGACTGGAGGAGGGTGAAAGCAGGAGAGGCTCTGCAGACAGTGTGAAGGGGGAAAACGGGACACCCAGGCCTCCCCTGACCCCCGGCACTAGCCCTCCTCACTCACTGCTGGAAGTGCCAGCTGGTGTCTCCAGCCGGCCTGGGCCGTGAGTGCAGTGTAGTGGGTCCGCTGCTGAGCGCATTCCCCGTCCCAGCGCCGCCTCTTCCCCCTCCTCCTCGCTTCATTCACCCCTCCGGCAGCCACCCTGACCCAGCCCGTACTACACAGCCCAGCACGGGCTGGCCCAGCCGGCGGCAAAGCCTCCCCCGCCGCAGCCCGCACAAACCCGGTGTCGTGCAAAACTCCAGCCGCTCTCACTTGCCTCCGCGCCAGCTAATGCACCAGGGGCAGCCACAGCCAGAGCCCGGCAGCAGCAGAGCGAGCGTGAAAACGCCACCCCTCCCCAGCACACACACACACACACACACGCGCGCGCGTCCTCTCTCCTCCCAGTTGGGGGGGAGGGGGTGACTGAAAGCAACCCAGACACAGGGGCTACGGCTGTCTCCTTGCCTGTACCCCCTCCTTTCTCCTGCCTCCTTCCCCTCCCCGGAAGACATTTCTTGCATGCACAGAGTGCAACGAATTCCAGCCACCCCCCCAATGTCCATCCACCGCCCCCCAGGATCCCAAAGCCATTTTCTGGCCTCCAGCCTTTCCAAGGCGGGGGGGGGGGGTGGACTGGGCTCCCGGGCTGGGCTGCAGGAAGGCTGAAGCCCCAGTGTGGGGTGGCTCGTCCAGTCCCCCCAGTGTTTCTCCAGCTGGAAAGCGCTGGAGGTTTTCAATCGAAAGGAGGAAAGAAGCCGGGGAAGCAAAAAGCAGAGAAGGAATAAAAAGCCACTTACTGCCAAGTGTCAAGGGAGGTGGGGGCAGAGAGAGAGACTCACACACACTGTCTTGCTAGGTGATCACAGGGCTTGGGGGCGGGGGGTTATGTTGGTTGCCTTTTTTTCTCGCTCTCTCTCTCCTTCCCCCTGCAGTGACACAGGTCCTGGATGTCTCCACCACTGTAGTAGAAATGATGTCTGCGGTACAGCGCTCTCTCTCCCCCCGCTCCTCTCTCTCCAGTATGTAAATGTGTAATAGAAGCCAAATATGGAGCAGTTGGCTGCCTCTGCAACAGCTCAAGGATCCTACTTCATGCAAAAGGGACGGGGGAAGGGAGGAGAGGAGGAGGAGGCGGCACGGCAACACTTTGGCAGGCGGCCAAGAGAGCCACACAGATTATTGCATACGCACCATAGAGCCGGGCCAAGCCAGTCTTAACCCTTTACACGGCTTCTGCCCAGTTACGGGAAGAAGTGGGGGGGGGGGGAGAGTTGTGGTGGGGTTTGTTGGTGTTTCTTCCCCCACTTCAAAAGGCAACGTTTGCCCTCAGAAGCACAATTAAAATAATACTGATCATCCGCTGTGCTTCTCTGAAGACTCGCATTTTGGGGATCTCAAAGCGCTCTGCAAACAGTAATGAAAGTGACCAAGAGATTCACTTGTTTAAGAGAAGAGAGCCCACCGGGGATGCCTACTGTCCTTTGGAAATGGCGGAGTGCTAATTTAGGGGACTCCTGAAGATCAGCCACTCAGTCTTTCACCATGAGGACTTGAGGGGGTCGTTTTCCTAATTAGTATTATTCTTCCAGGGACAAATCGTCAACTCCTATTGGAGTCGCTTGGCAAAAGGTGCCTACCACCTAAATCAAGTCCCAAATGACCTTTACTCTGATCCTTTACTAAACAGCAAGAAGGCAAATAGATTTGGACCTTGTATAAACAGATACCTTTGGGTGCTAACCACCTTTCTAGACTCCCTAATACACACTGTGCCAATTACACTTAATCTGAGGCTGAACCTCTCCCAACTATTCCCCCAAGTAGAGCAACTTACCTCTCCATGATGCTCCGGCCTCCGCTTGTTGCCCTGTTCTATCCTCCTGAAGAAATGATACAGGCCTCAAGGGCCCCATTACCATAGGTTGGGGGGGGGGAGGGGGAAGTAATACACTTAGATGCAAGAGCCAAAAGGATATCTTCTCTGTTGACCCCTAGGCTGGATTCCTAGAGGAAAACACAAGAGAAAGAAACTTCAGTTAATAAGAAAGGAACAGAATAGCAAAATTAAAACTAAAAATGTTATTGAAGACATGAATAAAATGAAGTTCCATACCTCCTAGAGCACCAGGGCCTGTGTGTGTTCGTTGTAATATACACTAAGCCCACAGGCAAGGCAGTGGGGTCCTAAAGAAGCTACTGACTCTCTGCTTGGGCATCAGCACATATGAGGGCATAGTGTGAGCGCCTCTCTCTTAGCTGACACACTGGCGATTGAACCAAAGGCATGAGCTGATATAGCTTGAGATAAAGCTCTGTAGCTGGGGGTATAAAAACCAGAGGCCTCTCTAGATACAGGCAAGCTAGGCACCTGCCCTTGGTGGCAGATTTGACCTGGTTGCCCCCCGTCATGATGGAGGGGAGACTGGGCCAAGCCTGAGTGGCGCTGTGACCCTATGTGCCAGGTTGCAATGCCACTTGCTCAGATTTGGCCCGGCTGCTCCTCCATCATGATGGAGGGATGGCTGGGCCAAATTTGAGTGATGTGGAAGGTGGCACGTTGACATGTTGCTTAGGGTGGTAGACTGCTTTAAACAGCCTTGGATAACAACTCATTTCATCTCTGGATCAGCACAGATGGAGACTAGTAACACACTTACCAGTGGGTTTCAATACCAGAGTTACAACATGCACAAGGCAGCTTCTGATGCAGAACAAAACCATTCAAAGTGGGCAATGGGGCAATCCCAAAATTGACATTATGCACATGCTCCAGGGAGCTGTGCTGGGCATTGTGGGATAGGTGCAATAATCCACAGGCCATGCAATGCTTGTAGGGAGTGCTGTGCGTGGACCCTGAGCACTGCTTGCATCCAAAATAGGGTGACTAGTGTTGACACTCTGCAGTGCTGCAACTTGTACCCAGTTCCCTCACACCAGGGCAAGTTACAATATGGCAGTTTTCTAGTGTAGACACACCCCATGTGTTGGTGAAGTGTTTCTATAATCTTAGTGGCTACATGCAAAAAAAAAAAAATCACGACTCTAAACTGTCAGTTTCTGTGGACGGATCTGCAAGGTAATTCCTTATAAAAAGAAATAGATTGCATAATTATACTATAATAGCTGAAAAGAATATATTGTAAGAGTCAGTGGTTTTGATCAATAGGCAATAGAATAGTGTATACTGTATATAGCATAGCTTTATAAGGCATAAAGATCCTTTATTATTACAATGACTAAACTTTAGTTAAGGTTCCATCATATGTAACCTGATGACATTTTCTGTTTTATGAGTGCTTTGGGGAAAAGAAACAGCAACAGGCCAAGACATTTGGACAGACGTGCAACTCAGCACCTCAAAGTAGTGAATCTGCAACAGCAGCAGCCAAGCAGACATCAACATCATCCTCACCCCGCTAATGTAAGATTCATTGATTGAATCAAAGGGAGGGAGGGAGAGAGTGTGGATTACTGAAAATCAAGTGAAAGCTCTAGTCAGTTCTTAAAGTGGTCTGAAAAAGTGGGGTGGGGTGGCGTGGGAGAGGTCTATTATAATCTGGGAGCAGCAGCTTTGGCAAGAACCGTGCTTAAAATGCACCCCTCAGTGACCCGACTTGATTAAAACAATATTTTTTTTTTTTGGCTGGGTCTGCAACCCCTTGCAATCCCTCATCCCATACACTCACTTTAAGCACTGCCTCTAGTGACACTTCAGCCCCTTCATCTGGGCACAGTCAAAGGCCGGCTCTAGGATTTTTGCCGCCCCAAGCAAAAACAA